TCTGAGAAGAAGAAAATTAACTCCTCGATTAGTCATATTTACTTTGAAATCAATGCAGTAATCGTATGAAAACTATTGTTGAACTTAACGTCTTTTGGATAAGAGAAAACTTCGTAGTATTAAAAATTCTATACTGGCTTGTCGAACTTATCATTTATTCGTCAGATATATATATTATTCATTAATTCTACATGCAATCTTCTTTTGTAATCCTTTATAATTTTTCAAGTTTGTGCGAGATATATTCTGGTAATAATGAGGAAAGCACAAATAAATCTATGATAAACCAAATTTTCGAAATGTGCCTTAAGTTTTCAATACTATGGGCATTAAAAAGCATAACAGCTTTAAAGCTAGGGATAGCACATTTAATTTTAGAAAAAATTATTAAATCGAGAAAGAAATCATTGAAAATTTTCATATTAAAAAAAATTAAACTTCTTTTAAACATGAACGTTTATGTTAAATTTAACTTTGTCGAATGCAGTTAAAAGTTGACCTTCAGTGTTAGCTAATTTAATTTTAATATAAATTAACTGTAAATTGATACCTATAACATTTAAAAAAAATGATATTATCAAGAAAGAGTCCTTAGACTGTACAAGAAAGCATTGGTTAGATTGATCAATTAAGCAACAAGCTAAACGAAATTACTTAATTCTTAATGAATGTACTCTCTTCTTTATGTGCGACGAATTGATCAATCATCAGTATTAATATTCAACAAACTAAAGAAATGCGAATCTAAAGCTTACCTAGCTGATGAGTTGTGGCACGGGTTGTAGTGGTAGTTTTCATTGTTATTGTAGCGTTCGTCACGATAAATTATAAAAGGGCATTTGTGTAAATTGAACAGATAGTTTTAAGTCTACAATGGAATGCGATAATGAGCTTTATGCATTTCAGTTTATAAAAGGGCTCGTTCGCAAGTGTGCTCATATGAGATTATTGGAATATTCATATTCTATCGTCAAATCATCAGTATTTGAGTTTTTACACTGTTCTTTTACAAAGAAAACTTTAAAAAGTATTCAGATACAGTCTGCAGTTATTATTGTAATCTGGAATAGATGAGTGAGCGTTGATACAAACTGCAAAAACAATGACCATATAAAGAAGAATAACTAATTATTAATATATTTATCATATTCAATCTTTGAAAATCCCTGGAGCTTTAGTAGTGTGCGTGTCATAGCTGCACGATAAGTCTTCAGTTTTATATGCAAAGCTATTAAAGCCAAGAGCAAGGCAATTGTAAATACAAATACGTGTCATTTCGAGCACGATGTCAATTATAATTATTTTGAAAAAAGAACTGTCGATTGAGCTTAATATTTACAAGAATCAGTTGAGTATATAGCAAAACTTGTTAATAAAGAGAAGTATATCACAATAAGTTTAATATAATTTTATGAAAGTTCAAAAATTTGATGCGTCCTTCAAAACTGAATTGAGTAATCAAACTTTGAACTTGTTTCTCTCTGTCTCACTCTCTTTTTCTCTGATATGCATTCCAAAATCTAGTGTGTTTTCATATTCTACTAGATTTAAGCATAAAAGACTCTGTTTCATGAGAAAAAGAGAAATCTTTTCCTTAACATTTACAATTTCTAGTATCTCTCTCTTACTTTAGCTCATTGTTTTCAGATCCTTCAACTTGTTCCTCGTGTTTTTACACTAAAATGAATTGCCTACATGAATGTACATAACCACTGAAGAGTTAGTTTTAAGAAAGATGTGAATTCCACCTAAAGCTATAAATGACTATTATTTCTATTACTTGTCATCGGTGGGCATATTCTTTGATTGATCATCGACACTGGATAACACACAGGAAGATTATGGCATCGAGGATGGTGAACACAAATATGCTCAGGTTTAGAGCAAAGATTGTTTGGATTTGCGCATATAGTTAGTTCAGAACAAGCCATCCAAGAAAAAGCACAAACGCCGGCGTCAACTGGACATACCATATGACAACAGGAGCATGCGTTATTCGATGAACATCGATCATATTGGGACATTCCATAGCATATTTGAGATTCACTTGAACTATCGACAAACTAAATCAGCAACAGAACATATAAAATGGAATAAGAGTCAAACCTGTGAGACTAAAAACAAGGATTCTTCAACACTAGATGAATAAAAAAATAAAAGATTTTATAAGCAAATACCTCAAGAGAACGAATGCGATGCAACAAATTACTGTTGACTCCATCACTTGCATTGAAATAAGATAGAGTAGTGACTTTATCAATTTGTATATATAATGAATGGATAATACTTGTCTTACTCATGGAATATTAAGACGTAAATGTCATAGTCTTTCAATAAATAGAAATTCGACATAACTCCGATATTTAAACATTTAATTATTTTTTGAAAACTAATCCTTATCGAAAAAAATCAATTCGGGATATCATTCTGAATATGAAAATTGATTTTATCACGTGCTTAGTTACTTTGTAACGATATCTTAGAATATAATACCAATGACACAATTTTTTTTTAAAAGAATATTTTTAATTTTTATTCGAAATAACTTACATATATCCTTATTGCGCTAAAGAAAAGGCTCATTTTTTCCGATTTTTGATAAGTCTTCTGGGGCCATTCATGAAGATCCCACGCTAATTTTTTCATAAAGTTGTAGCCCAGAGATAGTACTTCTAAGTTATATTTGGCAGCTCTCCAGGAGAGGATGTGGGTGTGAGTGTGGCTAAATAATATGCGAGAAACAATACCTGCACCTACACCTACACCCACACCCTCACGGTCAATAAACATTGATATTGACCTTATAATCTTTTTCTATATTCTTATTGTGTATTAATATTTCTATTACATAATAACATTTCTATAGCAAATTTTATAATACATGATACTGTTATAGTTATATATGCCTATACAAATATTTTCTTCGATCCGTAGATCTGGTTATCGTCGTTAGTCTCTTCGTCTTGATTCTTTACTTCTTTCATTATTGGAATAAAGATTAAAGTCACGTTCAACAAAACAAAACTTATACCTATGACATTTTTTATATGATGAACAATGACAGAATGACATTATTTTAGTTTTTTCAAAATTAATTATATTTGACTTTATTAATAGAAAATATTCTCTCCAATAGACTTGAGTTCTACTTTTCTTCTACGCCGTAATTGCAAATAGAAGTATCATTGTTATAAAATAATTCTGTTAATTACTGACAAACTGTAAACACAATTAATGACTTCTTATTTTAGAAGAAAAAAAGAATTGGCTCATTTTTTGTTTTATGTCAATATATATTTTAATTAAAGTTAGTAAGATCTGTGGTTTAACACGCAAGTAATACATCATTGAAACAACAATGCTGAGAACAAATTAGAGAGAGATAAAAAAAAGGAAGAGTTTTCTTTTGGAAGAAATGGAAACTATTTTACATGTTAATGATGTACATCTCTACTTGATTGCAACACAGAAAAAAAGAAGGCGATTTTAATTTCATTTGTGCATGTTCTGTTCGAAATAAGATATTCATTGATTGACAAGATTGATAAAATGACTGATTTTATCCTCCATATCTCTATAATGACTGATAAGAATGCAAAATAAAGATTATTTTCTTTTTTTTTTGACTTAAATCGTAATTCGTTAAAAGTTCTCTTTTTTCTCTGATCTGACACGTCTTTGTAGTCACGCACATATAATAATTAATTGTCTTGTTGAGATCATTATAGCTAGGTGCAGCTGAAGTATGATGTTTATTTAGATGAATTGAAAATGGCTTCTGAATCAGCTACAGCTCTTTATATATTGTCTATTGGAGATCGTCTTTATCAAACTGTTGCTATATCAATTATTATTGTGAGTACAATTGGAAATGTTTGTAACTGTTTCGTATTTCTTTGTATTCCACCTTTGAATAAACATCCAAATGCTTTGTTCATCATTGGATCATCAGTTGGAAGTTTCTTTTTTATTAATATTGGTCTTTCGTCAGCTGTTATACGAGTATATACTGGTACTGATCCATCGCATAAATGGTTATTTTGGTGTAAACTTGCTACTTGGTTTACTTATTCAAGTGGTTGTTTTAGTTTTATGTGTAATTGTTTTGCAGCTCTCGGTCAATTTCTTTTAACATTACCAAGAGTTCGATGGCATCGATTAATCACACATATTCGAGCACAAATAATGCTTTTCTGTACAGCGATTATTTGGTTTTTCATATTCTTACCATTCCCTATATTTTATATACATGTTCCTTTATCAAATACAACATTTGTCTGTACGAGTTCGTATCCTCTAATGACTCGCTATGGTACTTATTGGATTATAATTGGTTATTATTTTCTACCAATTATTCTTATATTAATTTTATTTTGTTTGACTCGGTATAATTTGCAACAACTTTTAAGACGTCGTCGTACATTAGATGCTGCAGTAACTCGAATGATGCTCATTCAAATGTGTATTTTACTTATTAGTGGTATACCAGCAGGACTTTACTTGTGTTATATTTTAGCAACACAATATGTTGCAAAAACAACATTACGATTTGCATATGAATATCTTATTTTACTTGTTCTCAGTTTATTTACTTGTTTTACTAATGGAATTTCTTTTTGGATATATTTATTTGTATCGAAAAGCTTTCGAAAACATATCAAAGATTTTATCGCCAAATTCTCAATATTCAGAGATCGAGTAAGACCATTTCACATTCAAAAAACAAGGATAAATGCAAGTCGTTGAAATTATTTTATCACATATTTACCAGCAAATGTTTATCTCGAATTATTTGCATATAGAAACGAAAGACATTCTAAACCACTGACGAATCTGCAATGTAAGAAAATAGAATATTAATCTTTTCATGTTTCTTCAATTGATGTATATATATGCGTTTATTTTGTTGAGCATACAGCAGGTGCAGGATTTTGCCTATTAATGTAATAAAAATAGAAATAATTTGAATCAAATCTTTATTTTCTTTCACTCGCGTGTATCAAGGGTGACATATTTTTCTAATGATTAATATTATTCTGATATTTGATATAAATCAATAATTGAAAAGATAAATCTTGAGGGTGTGGGTGGAAAGAGACAATACCCACGCCCCACATCCACATTTTCTAGAGAATTCGTTACTCTATCCTTATAGACTGTTAAAACAAAAGAACTGTCACAGTCATTGGTTCCAAAACCACGGTTTTCTAAAAACCCTACTTCCAAGCATTTGAGACAAAACTGTCCGCTAGACAAAAGAAAGAGCACATCGAGAAACCCTTAAGAATCAGAGGACAACTCGATATGTTCAACCATTCTCAAGATAGCCTAGGGCAACTTTCTCAGTGAGCACACCTCTTGTTTCACTATGAATGCACAAGTACATTGAAGGTAAAATTTTCTGAAGAGACGTGTCTTTCCCAGATATCGTGGTCCACTCTCACTATCAATTAGTACTGTACTATTTAGAGGAACTGGAATAAGTACGCTTTCTTGGGGGAAAAAAAACCTTGGTTACAATTCACTTCTATATACGTGCTGACACGTCTGATAAGAGAATATTTGAGATGTTTGTATTCTTGATCATATTCATTAGATAATCTTTTAAGCATAACAGGTAACAAAATCTTGCAAAAGCAAATGTAAAAATGAAATTCAATGTGTATAACGTACAAACTTTTTTTCTCTTCAGTTTGTAAAATAGTGTGTAAACTGGGTTTCATTAGGGTACAATATCCTTTGTTTTGCTGTGTACAGTCATTGATTAAAGATACAACTTCATACGACCTAGAATTGATTGGATTGTGTTGGATGATAATTATTGTAAATAAAAGAGATGTTGTTGAATAGTTTATTTACAATAATTATTGCTCGATGTTGGGAAGTTCACCTGTATGTATTGGATTAAAATGTTGTTGGCATGAAATATTTAAACAAGGTACAAATAATAATAATATTGATCAATAAAAATGAGAAGAAGAATTAGTTCTTCTATCGAGACCTTATGGTGATGATGTTGCTTTTGTTAAATCATCAAATGATCATATTTCTTATCGGTAAGTTTTTATTACAAAAAAAAAAATGAAAAACTAAGGTTTGCTTAGAAGGTTTATCAGATAGGATAAGTAGAAATCGTCATCATGGTCTTGATCCATATTTATTTGCTCATACATTAATTTTATCATGTTTAGAACAAAATGAACGGATTCAAGGTTCATCATCAATGCATAGTCTTGTTCATCGTGCTCTAGGTTGTGCTAAAAAAGGTTCTATATTTATTAGTGCTACTTTTTTTTTATTACTAATAAATAAGTGTTGTTCATATCTTCGTTCACTTAGTATCGGTGTTTCATAGTTTTATGTTAATTAGACAAAATAATTTAAATATTTGTTCACATCCACAATATCATTGTGATTCATCTCCTTTTCAATTATCTTCTCTTTCAATAAGAACAATATGATCATATACATCAAATTTAACAAGACTTTATCATGATAAATAAGGATGTTTATCTATATTTATATTTTATTTCATTTATTTATTAAGCTAACTTAGACCAACTGATGGAAAATATATTGAACATAATTTAGAAATAGCTGATTTATTATTGTTGTGTGGAATAGATGTAACTGACGAGAGGAGAGAAGAAGCACGAGCTATACATGTATAGCGTTTTTTGTGTCATATAGATATACATATGTAGCTTGTAATTCTCTTTATCTTCTAGTCATTCTACATCTTTTCTACACATATAGTAATGGTATGTAGAATGAATTATACATTTGAAGTCATTTCATTTTCTTCTGTATCTTATAGAACTATTATGATTATTTACTAAAATATTTTTAAATGAAAATCACTGATATAGGTAGACTTTTTATTATCTTATATGTATCAAGTCTTCTTATTATAATGAGCAAGTACTATATTATGTATGGATATGTAGGAAAGAAGCTGCGTACAACAATTATTAAACAATTGCAACTTCGGAAAAGGATGTATATATTTAAATACGGTACACGTCGCCAAAAAAAAACTGCTCATATCAATTTTATTAAATATTCCAATTAACGTAATTTTTATCGAATCATTTTGGGGGTTTCAATTCAGCTGACTATTAAAAATAATGCTAGTTATAACAATATTATGTGTATATTTAAATAAATTTTTACTTAAGTTCACTGGTGCACCAGAAAAAGAAATAGACATAGTCGAACTCTTATATAATACTGACGTATTTGCGAAAGTCGCATTCTGGTTGTCTATTAGTACATTTTTTATATTTGTCATGGTGATGATATACGTATTATACTTATATATATATGGATGATTATGCTTTTTTCATTTATAAAAAACAATAAAGATTTCTTTTTTTTTTATTACATTATGTCATAAACAAGCTAAGAAAAAGGACAAAAAAATGAATGAAAAACTATGAAAAAAGAGAACGGTCAACTTTTGACGCGATTTAAGTATTGAATTCGATTGAAACAACACATCGGCCAACGATTTTTTTTTTCTGTCTATATTTAGACCATTGTCGAATGAGGAAAGAGAAATAAGACTAGGCAACAAAATATATGTGAAATAGATGACGGGCATGCTTTTATATAAGATTATTTCTGTAATATATAGACAATATCGAGTATGAGAAAGACAAATTGAATGGATGACATATTTTTAATATAAATAGAATTATTTTTAGTGACAATTATTTCATTATTATGAGTAGAATGTTATTGATAAATGGAACGCTTCTCTAATTACCAAATCAATCGTTATCAATAGACTATAAACACTTATCGAGCGTTAATAATATGAAAGTTTGGCTTATAATTCATTTTATGACGACACTTGTACTAGAATGTTTACTTCTTCATATTATTTTTCTGATATATTCGATAATGATATCATTCTTCTATTGTTATTGGAGAAATATATATAATTTCTTGGAAAACAACTGGTTGTACATATATCATTTAGATACATATTCATTAATGATTATTGTATTGAAAAAAGAAATGAAATTGATATTGCCTTATATATGTATCGCTTTCCTCTACACATGGTTCTCTTTGGTGAATAGCAAACCTACAGTAATATATCTCAACTTTGTTTGTTGGTTAATCAAAGCTTCATTACTTCCACAAATCTTAATTATTATTCTTTTTGAATATTGTTTTCTGTGTCGAGAGAATTTTTTCTATGTATATCATTCATTTTATGTAACCATGATCATGACCAAAGTATCTTTGTTCATCTTCATGCGTTATGCCGAAATTCAATCTGATTTTTTTCTCAATAGATTCCAAATAATGTTTTTTAATATACTTTGTTATTGGCCTTCGAAATTCAATATCTATTAGAAATATATTGAATAGAAAAGTACATTATCTCTCATTCTTACATTAATATTTTCTTTTGTTATTCTTTAAAAGAATTTATAAATAAAATTCGATAAATAATATCTAATTTGTTAACAAATATTGCATGATTTAATAACTATATAAAAACTTCTCTTTTTATTCTATGATTTTTAAGAATGTATTATATTTTATTGATCAAAGTTAGAAAACTCTTTTGCATAATATAATGTCGTCTGCATAAAACTAATCAACTATACTAACACTTGAAGTAGAAACGATGACTACTTCGAAGATCTTACAGAACAGTAGAATATTTGTTAGTTAGAAATTTGAAGATTATATGTGAAAGATGATTATGTAACTGATTGATATTTAACTACCTTGTCCTAGCTGATAAGTCAAACATAGTAAATTTCAATATAGTTTAGCGATATTTACGAATCGTTTACAACTTTTTAGTAAAATTGATGAACAAAAGAAAAAACTGAAAGCAGGTTTAGAGAAAATCTCATCCACGCATTTTGTTCTATATATCCTTAAATACATAGAAAAAATTCTTTTTAGTTATAATTTGTTTTATTTTATAAAAGAATATGTATAATTACTTATTTCATTTATTCTTTCAATATCTCAACAAAATTAAAACTCAATCATCAATTTATACCTAAAGAGAAAACAACAATAGATTGATTCATATTGTTCTATGTAATTAATGTTAATGAACATATTTAGTTTCATAGAATATGATAAATCATATAGGATTATTATTTTTATTAAATATAGAAGAAAAAAACAATTAAAACAGAAATAAAATTCGTATATCTATTTAATGATGATATCGGGTATGAGTAGATGTCGAAACATTATGATTTATTAAATAAAGAAAGTTTATATATATATATTATATTTTTAGCTACATTTTATTTATTTACATCTATGAAGACAAGTTTACGCAGTTGTGAATGACTTGATTTTCTAGAGAATATATCGCCAGGCAGCATGCCGATCTCCTAAATCACGAATTTCTTTCTCAGACATGTTTTCATAGCCCCATCGTCGTTTGTCCTCTTCGCTGCTTATGGCATATATATCAAAGCATTGGACGACTGTTCTAGATGACGCTAACTCCACATTCACGAGCGTAACTGATGATTGCGTAGGTCCATATAGACGATCACGTCGTCGATTTTCCGCTCGCAGACCAAAGAAAAGAATCATAACACTGATTAGACCGAATGCACAGAATCCCAGGTTGACAGCATGACCGAAGATAAAACGAGGTGCATCTTGTGTACGATAGAGCTGCCCACTAATCACTCCACCGATGTTGCCAACCGAAATCATGAACGCCAACGCGGTGGCTCGTTTCGTTTGTGGACTAGTGTTGCCTGATAAAAAAGCGATACTAGTGACTGCGCATGGAGGAAGACCGCCAGTTGCAAGAATCACAGCAAGATACTTGATAATCACATGTTCAACTGCTATCAAAATAGTATAACCAACTAAGCTGATCGAGAACCAGAAAATGATGAAAATACTACGATGCATATATTTGTCAGATAGATAGGCTGTGATCATCATGGTCAAAAATGCGAATACATAGGGCGGCGCACTGAGTAGTTGGGCCTGATAGGTGATGAAACCAAGATTTTGAATGATAGTTGGAGAGAAAAACGCCAGAGAGTACGAAGGGACCAAAATGCTGATATAGCACAAGGACCAAACATAGGTTTTCCATGTCGATAGAGCGGCCAAGACTTGATTCCAGCTAAAATCTTCGCTATCTTCAGTTCTTGCATCGATTTGTAGACGAGTCATGACACGCTTGCATTCAGACTCGGTTAGAAATTTTGGTCGATCAGAAGGAAAATCGTTAATAAGAAAGAAACCCAATGCTCCAACAACTACTGTCACAATGCCTTCTAGATAGAAGATCCAACGCCAACCTTCTTGCCCGCCAACACCAGCCATCTTAGTGATACCATAAGCAAACACACCACCGAAGGCACCAGCAAGAGTAATACCTGAGAAAAAAATACTTACACGCCACGAGAGCTCACATCCCTTGTACCAACTCGAGAGATAGAAAATGACACCTACATAGAATGAATCATTGTTAAATAGGTCTTGACTAACTCTTCTTTTCATACCTGGAGCAAGACCTGATTCAAAAGCACCCAACAATAGACGACACGCAATAAGACTTCCATAGGAATTTACTAAACCCATCAGTGTCATCACGATGCCCCATCCAACCATGATCATTGGTATCCATCGACTAGGTTGGAGTCGTTTCAGTATTAGATTCGACGGAACTTCGAAGATTACATAAGTGACGAAGAACACACTCAGACATGCATTGTATTGATTACTGCTAAGGTTTAAAGACACTGTTAGACCATCGAGTTTTGCCTGACCAATATTCACTCGATCGAGAATATTCAGAAGAGCGAGCAATGTCAAGATTGGAAGCAGGTGCCAGTCCATTTTTCGGAGAAGCTTTTTATCTCCTGGATCATCTTCCTTGTCATCATCGACAACAATATTCACTTCTTGTATAACAGACTTTGTCTTGACAGAATCTGTCTTGATAGAATTTGTCTTCTCAGACTCTGTTTTGACAGAGGGCGATGGACTATTCTTCCCACTATTATTGAAATCGATCATGGTTTTTGTCCAATAGAACTGTTCTCAGCAATGACCTACGTCAAACGAGTAATTTTAAGTGTATGACCATAAAAGTAAAAAGCACTAGGTGAGAGAGGAAGATAAAATCACTTAAATGTATAGCTCTGAGCATGAAAATTTTTCACATTGATATTACCAGGCTATTCGTTTTCGTTCTCTTTCGAGATAAAAAAAACATGCACGTCAAGGTGAGCATTTTTTACTCTGATTTATTCATCGGTATGATGTGAAATCAGAATAATATTGAATGCAACGGTCGACAAGTTACAAAAAATGTAAATTATAGAAAATTGTTTTTTTTTCGTTTTTTTTTTATACGCAGTTAGAGAGAGCGATGAATTGATAAAGAATACGCTTTTTTAAAAATTTCTTCTAAAAGACTTTTGATTAAACAAAAATTTGAGATTTTGATAGCCTTGAATGTGTCATTTTTTCTAAAAGTACGTTTTTCATACTAAAACACCGACACATTTTTTTCGTTTCTAAAACAACTTTCCATTTGATGTGGATTATAAAATTAGTATGTTTAAATTTTCTATGAACAACTGAGTCTATGATACTAATTTTTAGTACTATTCAAGTATGTTATCATTATGAAATGTGTTGCATCATAAAATCAGCGACAAGTAACATTTCAACCAATCTTTGGAACTTTTTGTAATGCTATTTAATCTTTTCTATGTAATAATACATCTATATTTTATATACCATTGGAATTGCCAGATACTGTACTTCAAAGGTATAGCTTTGATTTTTCAAAATATTGCTTTCTTGAAGAAAAAACATGGTTCCGAAATTCCAAAGCGTGAAATTCTATCAATAATACAAGGTTTCCTTCGCTGAAACTCGGCCATTTTGGGATAAAAATGGTACGTTTCGAATTTTTCAATTCCCAAGACTTTGACTTTTTTATGATTTCTGATCCATGGCAAATGCCATAGAATTTCATGAAAGAATGAAAAGCAAGTAAAGACTCTGAAATATGTCTTAACTGATTCAGTTCTTTGTGTTGATTTCGAATCCGTCATTTTTATCCCAAAATGGTCGAGTTTCGGCGAAGGAAACCTCGTATTACTAGTAGAATTTCATGTTTTGGAGGTTCTAAACCATGTTTTTACTCCAATAAAATAATATCGGGAAAACCACAGTTATATTTTTGAAATACAGTGTCTGACGATTCTAAATGATATATGAACGATAAACATATTATTGCATAGAAAAACCTAGATAGCTTTGCAACACATTTCATAATGATAAAATACTTGACTAGTACCAAAAATTAGTCTCATAGACTCAATTTTTCATGGAGAATCTAAACATATCAATTTTCTAGAAAAAAAAAACAGTACTTTTAGAAAATATAGACCATTCAAGACTATCAAAAATCTCAAATTGTGTTCAATCAAAAAAATGTTTCAAAATGGAATCTTAAAAACATACATATTCTTAATGAGCTCATTAAACTCTCTCTAGATGCGTTTAAAAAAACAAAAACAACCATTCATCTTAATTCTGCAGTTTTTGCATTTCATATGGAAAGGTGAAATCATTCTCAAGCGCTATTATGATCATAAACAAAGATAATGTATTAGCATTCAATTGCGTAAATTACTCCAATGCATCCAGATCACTGCACCGTAACAGATCTACAGTTTTCAATGAGAAATGAGAAATAGGTCACCTTATCTAACATTCTTTAGGCGTTTGCGTACGCAGAGAAATCACTGCATGATAGTTGAAAAGAATATTTTGTTCAATTTTAACACACGATCTATTACTTTAACTATTCGTTGTATTTTAGTCGACATGACCGCTTGTTTTGACAAATGGTATCCTGTGACACGTACGAGGACAATTGAAAGCATATTGTCCTATCTCTTAATGAAAAGACAAGTTCAATCTGCTAGTCTCAACTCTTACTTCTTAGCAATCAATACTTTGTCGAAATAGTTTGAAGTATAAACGAGATGTCCCAAAAATCGTGTTCAATTAAGAAATGTATACCGGGTGGCCCAAAAGTAAGGAAAAATAATGGGTATCCCATAATAACTGATGAAAAACTGTTAATGATATTTTTCATACTTTTTATTGATGTAAAGAGCTGAAATTTTTATTACATATATATCTAATTAACACCTTTTATTTCTGAAAGTTTTAGCTCTCTACATCAATAAAAAGTATGAAAAATATCATTAACAGTTTTTCATCAGTTATTATTAGATACCCATTATTTTTCCTTACTTTTGGGTCACCCGGTATAATTTTCTTATTGTTTAAGCTTAAACTGATAATTTTATCTCAGAGAGGAGAGTTGTACGGTTTTATTCATGAAAACAAAATTCATAAACACTCTATAAAAGCTATTATTTCTGATCGCATTATAAAATCTTGGCAATTTTTCAACATCAGAAAACAATATACAATGTTTTTTATATTGTTATTTCGATTTCTATCATTATTAGGGTGTGGGTGTGATAAAAGATAGAACGTACACTCACACCCACACCCACAACTCATCCTATATCTATTTCTTTTCCACAAGCAAAATAAAAATAAACAACTATTCGAAAAAATAGTTCGTCAAATTTTAGATAAATTTTTAAGTATAAAAAATTCATTGATTATGCACTAATGTTTTCCTATCATTTGTTGAGTTGTCGAAATAAAGAACTGTATTTTGAATACAATTCTAAAAATCTTTTTCATCGAATTTTTAGTATGAATTTAATTTATCATGTTCAAAAAGTTGTAATTTATGTTCTTATGACAAAATAATCAAGATGTTATTCTTCAAAGTATTGACGGATTTAAAACATTTATCTCAATTCTTTAATTTCAGCTGAATAAATAAAACATTGAAATTATTCGAAGTCTGACAGGAACTGTCATTTGCAATGAAAATATGAAATAGAAAATTAATGTCTTATTGTACGTTTTGCAATTAGAAAATAGTCAGACATGTTCGTATGAACTTGCTAATTTAAAATGGAATTCAAATGAGCATTTACTAGATAAATTGACTGAATTTGATAAGACTGAATGATTTAAATAAAATTTTGATCAAATCAATTTTACCATTAACAATTGTTCAAAATTGACCAATGAAGATCTTGAAACTTTCTTGAACTGTTCGAATAAGGAAAATATTTCAGATAAATTATTAGATAGTATTATTGTTTTAATAGCTAATAAAACCTCAAAAATGATCAAAACATTATGTTATCCATTGACGATAGTTGAAACTTCTAAGACAGAAAGAAAGATTACAGATGCAATTATATTACTCATTATTGTTCAAGACAAAAATGAAGAATCATTAGATATATTCAAATCAATTTCTAAAAAATAAATGATTCTAGAAGAATTAAAAGATCAAATGAAATTATTCTCGAAAATTGATCCTAGAATGAGTATCGATCTAACAACTTTTGGCGAACTTTCGTCTAAGAATGTAGCAAAAATCACATAACTTTCAAGGGTGGAGGTGTGGGGTGTGGGTCTGGCTGTGGGTGTGGGTGTGAATGAAGAGAGGACCCATACACCCACACCCACCCCACACCCACATTCACACCCAATTCATATTATTTATTATAGAAATTACATATATAGAAGCAAATCACAATATTATTCTTTTTATTTTAAACGACAGTTATGATTGTTCGACAAGTTTTTTGAGTGCTCGTACGAATCGAGCGTAATCATCTAATTGAAGCAGATCTTGCCCATTATTTCGAACCCGAACTCTAGCTCTCAAGCAATCATATTCCGAATCGACGCGTGTCGGTGAGGCGATCATCATTTTAGCGTAAATGACAAGCTCTATTCCATCAACAAAGGAAAATGTATCTAGAAGATACTTAGGTAGCTTATGTTGTTCTAACCAATACTTCACGTCATCACTTGACCACTGCTCAGGTAATGTGTTCGATAACATTTTCTTGTTGTCAAACATGCAGAGAGTCGTAAGAGAGCTGATCAGATTTGCCCATTGTTCACGTGTTAGACCACGATCTCGAAGATTTCTTTCATATTCATCTCGTTGAATGTCTTCGTCCGATATTAGTCGCGCATAAGTCAGTAAAGCACGACCATTTGATAGTTGAAGGACTGATGAAGGTAGATGTAGCCATTCTTGAACTTCGTCACCAATCCATTGTTCAACTGGTTTTCTAGAAGTTGGTACTGGTGACGAAATCGTGAGGATTGATCCGACGGGATCAGTCAACAGTGGAATGGGATGCCATGATTGTGATGGCGAAGCATCAACGATCGAAGAAGAAATCAGAACCGATGAAACGTTATCATTGCTTTCGGGATGTAACTTTTTAGGAATTGTTACTGTATCAACACGGTTTTTTCTTGTTTCTTGACAATTAATCAATTTAATAAGAGTTTCCATTACATCTTCATCACTTTTCATACAACCAAAACGTACCCAAGTTGCTGAACCAGCTCGAATTTCAAACCAATCCTCAGGTTCGTATTCAGAACCATGATAAACAGGTATCATTCGTTTGCTACGTTTATCTGCATGAATCACTTCGCGACGACAACTTTTCGAGCTACAATAATTTGCTGTAACAATCATCACCACTACGTCACAATCCGTAATTGCTGCGGCTATTTCTTCCCAATCGTCCTCATATGGTGGTTGTAATTTAATGAAATCTACCCACACATCTCCTTGCACTCGATCTTTCAAAATCTTAACTAGTTTTTGACAAAATGAACTATCCTTATGTGAATATGAAACCATGACCTTCACACCATCGATATCTTCGTTGATCTTTGGTTTATTATGTATGGAAGGTTGTTGATCTAGATCAAGATTAAATAGAATTCCATTTGATGACCGTCTGATCTCTGCAATATATTCATCGTTGGAATCGATCTTAGCAGTTTGTTGTACAAATAGAACGAATTCCGTATTCGTCTTTAGTTCGGCATGATAATTCGGTTGAAAACTAATAGACCAAAACATAGTATACAATAGAGAACAAATGATAGTATTCAGATCGGATGAATCAGATTTGAGATCGAGCATGAATAGTCGATTGAACTCCAAGAATTTCTCTACAAGAAATTCGAACATATTTTCGCGTGCCAACATGTACAGTAGACATTTGTCATTGACGGTAAATTTTGCTAGTGCAGTCCAAAATTCTGTCACATGGTATACACCACAACGAAGAGAAGGTGACCGAAATGCTTCAATTGCTCGATCAAGAATATGATCGAGAGCGAGTCGGATACTGGTTGCATCTTCGCTTTTCAATATTGACGGTTCAAGTAATAGGGCATAGCTCATGTAATAGACTACGAGTATATCCTCGTAATTTTCATCATCGGACAATGTTAATTTGGAAAGATAGCGTTCTTTCCATGTTTTTAGAATCGAAATAGCGTCTTGTTGATTTAATGCTTTTACACCCGATTCATGCCGAGCAAGATTATGTATTAGATCCAGACATTCACGCCATACTCTGATACTAATCATCGACTCATTTGGTTCAATGGATAACCATTGTAGAGCCATTTCCGAATAGCCAGTTGTGACAAAAAATGGCACGAATGCAATGATATCCATCACACTATGAATCCACCAAAATACCTTTGTATGAGTATTACTTATTGGATTCTCTCGAAAATGACGATTTAAATAAGGAAGAAATGCGCGTAGGAGACGATCCGTTTCATTATTCAGTTGGAAAAATGTCGGTGTGTTCTTATGTGTGACACTGATTGAATAGGATCTTCGTGTTTTGTTTACCATCGCCCAATTACCGATAGTACAACATAGATAAAGAAAATGTTCATCAACGAGAGTACTTGGTCGAGCTTCAAGCAAATAATCGATGGTGACATCGGCAGTCAAACAGTTGAGCGACAAATCAAAGTAACTGTCATTAACCCTTTCGTCTATCTCCATTTCGATTTGAATTTGATAAAGAATGATGTCGAAAAGAGTTTTCAAGAGTTGTGATGACATTGACGACGCGAATCGTATAACCATTTGATGAAATAGATTGATTTGAAACGATTTCATTTCTTGAACCAGCTGATGTTTCTGATTGATCGAGTATAATTCAGAGCTAGTGCTGATGTCTTTGAAATAATTGCAGACAATCTCAAAAAGATGACCAATATTGTCATCCAGAGAGAAATCAACATTCTGAGCAAAAGCGGTTTCTAACTTTCGAATGGCATCTTTTACTGAATCATTGACCATATTGTTAATAGATGTCATGGTGACTAAGAAATAGAAACAGGAAATGTGTATTTGTCAAAAACTTTAGTCTTATTCGTTCAATCGATCGATCGTTGTGAAACAAGAGTCTCACAAGATGTTTTGCTGAGAATCTAAGTAGAACTGTGGTTTGGTATTGTTTACACAGAATGTAAATAAACAGAATCGAATAGTACTAGGTAAAAGAAATAGCCATGTTAGTATCAGATGTTATACAGTTATTGAAATTGAGTCGCGAATTAGAATGACAATAAAATGAAGAAAAATATGAATCTTCTTAGAATTCGAATGATGTAGCTTCTGCAATCCAGGATACATGTTGTCCGCTGATTAAATTAGATGGGGCTAAAGCTAGAATACAAGTACAAAGTACTCGTACTTGTACTTGAGTGAATTCGTGTATATAAAAAATCGCTCTGAGATACTTTTATGAAACGATATCAGAATGAGTTATATAAAAGTACTTAAATTGAATAGAAGTATTACGAAGAAAATGAAAATATTTCATCTGTTACCGAAACTGTCATCCATTTCAAAAAGAGTAGATTCGATTGTTTGTTGAATAGCTGAGCAAAGCTGATAGGTATTGAGCTCAAGATTTCTTTGTTAGAAAGGGCATGAATTGGTGTGCAAATCAACCTCAAAATTAAAATACTTTGAAAATTATTTCAAGGTCCAGGGATTTGCTGGAAAATCATTGTCTGACTCAGTTAATTACATGTAGTATCTGTAACTTTGATTTAGCCACATTGTAGCTCAAGTTCTACTTTATAGATCTCAAAATTCTTTGACGTTTTCAACCTTTGCTTAAAAAATGATGACCATTTTACTGAATTTTTATCTTTTCCTAGATATTTACCGAAAAATGAAATTGCAGAAATCTGACTTGAAAATTCGCTCACAGATTGGTCTAATGGTCTTTGGAATATGCTAAAAGTTTTAGCCAAAAACGGTGTTCCTGTCTCGAGATTGTTACAGTTGACATGGGAATTCAGTTGAGTTTGGAATGCATGTTAATAATATGAGTCACACGATAATTAATGTTTGTTTACTATTGTATTCAACTTTTGTAATTTTAGCGATTCTAAATGATTGGTCGAACTTCTATGATTTATTTTGAGTTATTTTAAAATACTTACATATAGAAAATTTTCATTTTTAACCATTCTTATTTAGTGAATATTAGAATTTTATGGGCTTTATTCATCTCCCTATAATTAATCGATTGATGTTCATTACTATGGAACATTCAATCAAGAAACACATTCTATGTCTGTTTGTTTTAAATTACATAAATTTTTTTTCATGTGAATCTCTTACAAAAAAATGAGCATTCTTAATTCTAAGCTACAATCTTACATTGATAAACTTTCTCACAATAAGTTGATTGAATAGATTATCAACAATCCGTTTATAGTCCAATTATTAATCAATCTAACATCAGATCGGCTGCTATTCTAAATAGTATGAATTATTCAATTTCAATTTTTTAACAACGAATTTGCTAACACTAAACATTTAACCAATTATTCAATCCCCCCATATCACGAGCATCGAAAAAAAAAAGCTATTTTATAAAAACAAATAGCTCAAATACTCTTGATTTCGTTTCAACCAATCTTTCAATGTTCCCATGCCTCGCAGCTCGAAAAAATCTATTCCATAGAAACAAACAGCTCAAATACTCTTGATTTCGTTTCAACCAATCATTCAATGTCCTCATGCCTCGCAGCTCGAAAAAATCTATTCTATAGAAACAAATAGCTCAAGTACTCTCGATTTCATTTCAACCAATCGTTCAATGTCCCCATGTCCCGAGCACCGATATAGAAACTACAATATAAGTAAAATGATGAGTAAGATTTACTTTTAGAAGGAAACAATAAATAGAATGATTAATGGCTTTTCATCAACAAAATAACAGTACGAAGATACTTTTTATTGTCCGAGAAGTAATACTAAATATAAATTTCACAAGAAACAAACAAGGTTTCTTGAATATGTGTTGGATAAATTTTTAAACAAACAAAGTGAAGTAAGTGATTCCAATCTCAACTAGATTCCAAACTCAACTGCAACACTCATCCTAGTTCTAGATGAGACATCTGATATTCGATTAGCGATATAAATCATTCATTCTGAGTCTATCAAATTCTATCCTTTTTCTTTTCAAGAGAAGAAAACTTATCTGAAATATATGAATACAAAATTAGAGACGTAAATGTCGATAATTTTTTGCTGTAGCTTCAAAAATATTAGACGAAAATAAATACAGCTATACGAAGATACGAGATAATGGTGAGTCGATCGTAGAATCTGATCAAGGTAGATGGATGATTGAAAAGAACTAGTGCATTCAGAGAATTTCAATAGGAACTCACCGTTTAGATTGATTTTTACAAAAGTAGAATATATTTTCAAAAATTTTGAAAACTCCTTATTGATTCTTCAATAGATTCGAAAATGTGTTGGTTCGAGAAAACCGGATTCAAATTTTACTTTCGAAAAGCCAATAGATTTTGGCAATGACAAAATCGTTAGATGATTTCTCTAAAACAGAAACTATTAATAAACTTCAGTGCAATATTTAAAGAAAGAATCAATTATTTGACTTATGTAATACCAGCAAAAAATTGTCTCATCATCTCGTGAGAGGCCGCGTAAAAAAGACGAAAATCAAGATTACTTACATGTCAAATGATGCTAAAATATTCAAATTTTTTCGTAGATGCCCACAACTCGCGATAATATTTACTTATGAATGATGAAATTTCTGATTTTGTTCTCTTCTCTTTCGTTAGAAAAACCAATGAAGCATGATATTTTCATAGGATAAACGATTTGTTTCGTGTCTATAGACTCCTCTGTGCATGTGCTTACATTTTCTACCACGTTTGTTCTGTCATTTTTCTTCCTTTGCCTTTTACGTAGCTTTAAGAAAAAGTGTACAAATATGCCCAAATATCCGCGTGCACTCGACTGCAACGTCACATTTTCTTTACTCATAGAAAAAAGCAAACCAATAGGTTTTTTACAAGGAGGAAAAATCGTGCTTCATATTTTCAAAACTTCTAAGTACTTCTCTGTGTTTTCATCTACTCCTATTACTTTTTTAAGTACAATTCTATGGGAATTTCGCAAAGAATACCTCTTTTCTACTTTCAAACAATATATCTTTCAATATAGCTACTAACATATTAAAGTTGAAAACTCTTAGTAAGAAAACAATCTCACATAGTAGACAGAGAAAGATAGCAATTTTCAGAGTATGAATGTGTGTAGATGATGTAGATACCCACACCCCACATCCATGTTTACATGCAATTAGAATTATAAGAATAAATCTCGATAATAAATTAGTAAAAAATTGAACTAAATAATCGATGAAACTATTCGTTTGATTATAAATCGATATCATCGATATAATATCTTCAAATATCCGATATATCTTCTAAAGAGAAACGCACATAGTTAGAATTTATTTTCTTCCTATATTCTATATATTTCGA